GGGGGGGAGGGTTGGGGGTTCTGAGGGGGCGGGAAGTGGGAGGGAGTGGAAGGGGCAGGGGCGGGGCTAGGGCAGGAAGGGGGCGGGGCTAGGGTGGGGCTCCTCCCGTCCTCTTTTTTGATTGTTGAAATATGGTAACCCTAAACAAAGGAAATGAGGAAGCGACTAGCTGTAAAATTAATGAGAACATGATCTAGCTCGTATGGAAATACATGTCGGGGTTTGGCGAGAGTAGGGAGTGATAGGCTAGGTGAAAAGGGGACCTGGTCAGGGACAGCTGGGCTTTGCAAGCCCTCAGGAACACTCCCATGGAAGTTAATGCTGGACATCCTCAGCATTCTCCTGCAGAACCTGCTCTGTGCTCTTGACGCCCCGCCCCGCCCCCCCAGTGGGATGGAGCAGAAGGCAATGCCAACACAGCTCTTAAGGAGGAGGCTGTTCTTTGGGATGGTGTGATTTGACTCCTGCTTTATAAGTACAGAAGATAAGGGGGTTATTTTTTCTTATATGTCTGATTTTTAACCTTTCAGCATCCCTTAAATGTCAACAAAAGGGAGCATCCATTCATAGTTAAACGCTGTACCAAGGGTCCTGCTGCACGCTCTGCCTCTGTTAGTGCCCTGGGGGCAGTGCTTACTTTGTAATGAAAGAGATGCTGGAGCTCAAGCAATTAGGTGCTGAGGCTCAAGCAATTTTTGTACTTTTATAACTGATGCAGCAAGCCTAGAGCTGCCAGGGCTATAGACTGCCAAGCCTAGAGATGCCGGGGCTATGAACTGCCAAACCTAGAGGTGCCGGGGCAATGAACTGCCAAGCCTAGAGCTGCCAGGGCTATAGACTGCCAAGCCTAGAGATGCCGGGGCTATGAACTGCCAAGCCCAGAGGTGCTGGGGCTATGAACTACCAAGCCTAGAAGTGCCAGGGCTCAGCCCTGGCAAACCCTGGCACAAATTAAGCACTGCCCCTAGGGGCAGGGTGGGTGAAGGCCCACCTCCACAGCACTGGTCTCTCCTTCCTCTCACACTGCACAAGCACCTCTGGAATGGCTCCTTGGAAGTGGGAAATGGGGATGGCCAAAGAGGGGGTTTCTGAGGGCAGAGGTGTCAAGGAAATCCATAACAGCACAGTTGCTGCCATTGTGCTAGCAGAGGGCTGCGAGGGCTAGAGAAGGAGCCAGTGAGATGCACAGCACAGAGCCTCTGTCTGGATGGCCGATGCCACCACAGTTCCTGGAGGAGCCAATTGTTTTGAGGGCTTAGCCACCTGCTTCTTCTGGGTGTGTGTGGCAAGGGGAAAATCTGCCCTCCTGTGAAATAATATATAGGAGGTCTACACTACCCGCCTGAATCGGCGGGTAGAAATCGATTTCTCAGGGATCGAATTATCGCGTCTCGTTGGGACGCGACAATCGATCCCTGAATCGACGCGCTTACTCCACCAGCAGAGGTAGGAGTAAGCGCCGTCGACGGGGAGCCGCGGAGGTCAATTTTGCCGCCGTCCTCACAGCGGGGTAAGTCGGCTCCGATACGTCGAATTCAGCTACGCTATTCGCGTAGCTGAATTTGCGTATCTTAAATCGACCTCCCCCGTAGTGAAGACCTGCCTTGAGAGGTTGAAGTAGTAGTTTCCTTCCTTTACACAGGCATTTCTGCAGAGATAACACATCCCCAGCTGATCACCCGAGGCTAACCAGCCATGTTGTTAAGTGTTCCTCTGCCATAGTGCAAGAGCTGTTGTTTAGCCTCTGTGTTACATTTTTGAAAATCATTTTGCGTTTAATTAGCAAATCTGTTTTACTCCACCCCAAATTAACTGTAATGTTGTGTTCAGTTCTGGGCACCACAATCCCAGATTGTAAACTCTGTGGAAGTAGAGAAAGGGAATTTGAACATAGATATCTTAGTCTCTAGGAATAGAGTAAGAGTCAGGCTAACAAAGTCAGGCTGACAATGACTCTAATAACGCGAGACTTGAAGGCAGGGCCTAGGCGGGCAGAAAGCGAGTGCGAACAGACTGTAAGAGATACTGTTTTGACCTTGTGTTAGATAAGAATGGAATGTAGACTGTGGCAGAAATTAATGAGAAAAGTGAGATATCAGGAAGAAATATGTAAAACAAAATGCAGCTGTCGCTCATTATTGTATGTCACAAAAGGTATAAAAGCTTGCCCTAATTGTTTATTTAGCGGAGACCTTCCTGTGTGTACTCTTCCCGTGCATATTGCAATTGCTCGAAATAAAGCTGCCTCTGGCTTGTTGCTTCAAACTCAGAATGAGGACATTGTTTTCTTCCACAATTTGGTGCCATGACTTGGATGGCAATGCCCAGCTGAGACAGCGACAAACTACTACGGACTGTTCCCCTGTGAACCCCATGGCGCCATAATAGAGGTAAGAGACCTTTTGAAATCTCTACTGGGGTGTCGCAGGAGGACTGCCCGTGGGGCTGTCTGTCCCTTTGGGGCTCACACCATTCGAACTTATTGTTTTGCAACAAGATCAGATGTAGAGCGGCTCTGAGGACATTGTTTTCTTCCACAGCTCATTAGGGTAGAGACTAGCTTTTTGTTTGGTGTTTGCACAGCACCTAGCACAATGGGGTCCTGGTCCATGACTAGGAGTGCTGGGCGTTACTATAACGACAACAATAATAATTCATAATAAATGCTGACTAACTGGAGAGAATTGAAGCAAGAAGGATTCAGGGAATGATATTGCCCTGATTCCTTGCTCATTTCCACCAGTGTCCTCTTGGCGCTGGTGGAGATACCCTGATTTATTCCAGTGTGAGAGGAGACTCAGGCTGTCTGAGGGATGGTTATAATGACTAAGTATAATTAGCTATTATGTCTATACAATGTCTAAGGTTGGACACAATTGTCTCCAAGAGTTTAAAGGATATAAACACAAGAAAGGGGAAGACTTGTTCAGAGTGGTACAAAGAGGGTTAACTAGGAGCAATGGGACACACGTGAGCAAAAGAAAATTGAAAGTCAATATGAAAAAAATCTTCCTAACTATGAACAAGTGGCCTCTGGATCAGTTCCCAAAGGGGAGTAGTGGGAGGCCTGCGATCTGAGTTACTTAAAGCTTGACTGGATGATATATCAGAAAATCTAGTGCTGGGAACACTTTTACCCTGAACAAAATTAGTTTGACCTAAAGATCTTTTTCATCTAGGATTTATATGATTCTATATAATGAGTTAACTGAAAGAGTGACCATTTGTTTAAATGAGCATGGTTTAAAGATGGGCAAGGAGTTAGAGGCTGTTTGCTTTTGTCTGTAAAGTCTACAGTTCTCTTGCTTTTAACAGGAGTCTTCCATTCCTTATCTCTTCCCACCCCACCAATTTCACTTCCTAGCTATACACTGCAGAAGCCAACCTACTAGGTTTTTCTCAGGAAAACATCAGGGCAAGGTTTAAAAAGCCTGGTTAATTTTATAACATTGGTAACGTGTAGTTAAAGCTTTACTTTGTTCTTGAGCATCAGGTATTGGGCACTGCTGGACTCAGGATACTGGATTCCATTGAGCAATGATCTGAATAAACACAGCAGTGCGAATAGCTCACAAAATTAGAATGGTCTTTGAACAGCAACAGTCTTGTGATCCTCGAAGGATAAGGGTAAGAAGATGGATTATGTGATACATTATATCGGACCACAATTAAGGCTTCTTACTTTCTTCTATTATCTTTGAAATGCCTAAGGGCTATCCCCTGCCTCACCCCCATCACTCTGTTAGCTAGCATGCGTGTGTTTTTTCATATCAAGGCTCTCTTGCTGGGGTCTGCTAGGAAGAGAAACTCCAGGGGAGGGAAAAAGGGAGAGAAAAAAGAAGATTTGAAGTGTGGGGTGAGAGCGTATTTCCTCATCACAAGAGAGCACACTCAACACTAGAGGAGCTGGCCACGAAAACTCATTGAAAAGGAATGAAACAGCAGATGTAAACTAACTAGTAACCCGAATTACTAATTTGCATTTCAGCTGAAGAGTCACTTTTCCGAGCGAGGACAATTGCATAAAACCTGCAACAGAGATAAACAGTTTATGTGACTAGCTAATTAATAGACTAAATATCAGTTTTTTCACTAGGATGTTTCATTCATGAAAGCAATGGCAGCTGCTAGCTCTGCTTTAGTTGAGGGTCTGGCTGCATTTCCAGGATAAACTCTTGTTTTGAGTAACTTACCACTCAGCTATAAAACATTGCTGGGGTGGATGAGGATTCCTCAGGGAAACAGTGTAGAAAAAATAAGATTCCCGCCTCTCGCAGAGCATACGCATATCTTTGAAGCCTTTCCCAGAATCAAACTGAGCTTTTGGTGACATTTGGAAAAGTTATTTTTTAAGAGCCAGATTCTGCCACTCTTACTCAGACTGAACAGTGGGACAAGGGCACTGAGCGGCATTATTCCCCAATGGGGCCAGTCATGACCTCTCTTGCACACCCATGCAGGGGAGAAAGGATCATAGGAGCTTACGTTTGCTACCTGCATTGCTGGAACCCCCATGAAGAGGAGAGCAACTGCTGCCAGCTGCTCCTCCTCATCCCATGCAGGGGTGGGTGGGCATGGGCAGGGAGTGGGCAGTGCTGATAAGTATCCTAGCACTGGGACAGATGGGGAAGCTGGCGCAGTTCATTTCTCCCATAGGGTGAGGCACAGGCTGGTTCATGTCCTGGTCCTGAGGCAGTGCAGCTATGTCACTTAGTGTGGATGACAGGGTTACAGTCCTGTTCCATGTAAGCTAGTGTGACTGAACCTGGCCCTACATGATTTTTTATTTACATGCTCTTCTGAATTTCCCGATTCCATTCAAGACCAGAAGTAGGTTTGGAAACGCATTCCAATTTTTGGCCACTTCTCTGATCCAAATCAGTTATGGGCCTAAAGCCAAGTCTGCTTCACGAATTCAAAACAACACAACACTGCTTCCAAGGTATAGGGGGAATAGATGTGAAAGGCCACCTTTCAGGCGCTGGGTTTGTGCCGTCTTGTTTGTTTAAGTGTAATTTAGCCAGACTATAGTCCATAGTGTGGATAACAAGGGCCTTTGGCATTTTTTAAAGACAAGGAGTGTCCGATTTATTGACTAAAAATTGCTGACTGCACAGATTCTGTTAGTTCCAGAACATTTTCTTTTAAAAAAAACCCCACGTGTATCCATGACAAATTGCAGTGGCTCCAGCCTGGCTCTCAGAAGGGAGCTGTGGCAGTCTCTTGGATCAATCATATGTGTTTTATCAACTACTTCATCATCATACACATTATAGAAATGTATCCCTGCATCATGATACATTCAACTTCTGGTCACTTGGTGCTTTACGTGGCTGTATTGTATTGTTAGTTTAGATTGTAAGTTCCTTGGGTCAGAGACCACATCTCCTCTATGTTCTGCACTGTACTAAGTACATTATAATACAGAAATAATGACAACAATAGAGGGGCAACCATGTATTTTAAATGTATACCACTAGGCCAACATTTTCAAAATTGCATGACTAAAGTTAGATACCTAAATAATGGCCTGACCTAGCTCCCACTGAAAACAAAGGGAAGGTCCCTATTAACTTTGAAGGGAGCTGGATCAGAACCTAAATGGCATGATCTTCAGAGGTGCTGAGCTGCCACTAACTTTAGTAGGACTTTTGCATGAGTAACCATTTCATGATTTGGCCCTATCATAAAGACATTATTGTCTGTCTTATACATCTCATGATAGCTTCCCCTACATAAGAACATAAGAATGGCCATACTATGTCAGACCAATGGGCCATCTAGCCCAGTATCTTGTCATTCAACAGTGTTTGGTGCCCAATACTTCAGAGGAAATGAACAGAAAAGGGCAATTGTTGTCTAGTCCAAGCTTCTGGCAGTCAGAGGTTTAGAGAAACCCAAAGCATGGGGTTGTGTCCCTGATCACCTTGGTTAATAGCTATTGATGGACCTATCCTCCATGAACATATCTAATTATTTTTTGAACCCAGTTACTTTGGCCTTAACAACATCCCCTGGCAATGAGTTCCACAGTTGACTGTGCGTTGTGTGACGAAGTACTTCCTTTTGTTTGTTTTAAACCTGCTGCCTATTAATTTCATTGGGTGTCCACAGGTTTTTGTGGTATTTGAAGGGGTAAATACAATTTCCTTATTGACTTTCGCCACATCATTCATGATTTTATAAACCTCTATCATATCTCCCCTCAGTTGTCTCTTTTCAAAACTGAACAGTCCCAGTCTTTTTAATCTTGTCTCAGATGGAAGCTGTTCCATACTCCTCATCATTTTTGCTGCCCTTCTCTGTATTTTTTCCAATTCTAATGCATCTTTTTTGAGATGAGGCAACCCGAACTACATGCAGTTTTCAAGGTGTGGGTGTGCAATGGATTTATATAGTGGCATTATGATATTTTCTGTTTTATTAACTAACCTTTCCTAATGGTTCCTAATATTCTGGTAGCGTTTTTGACTGCTGCTGCACATTGAGTAGATATTTTTAGAGAACTATCCATGATGACTCCAAGATTGCTTTCTTGATTGGTAACAGCTAATTTAGACCCCACCATTTTGTATGTATAGTTGGGATTGTTTTCCAATGTGCATTATTTTGCATTTGTCAACATTGAATTTCATCTGCCATTGTGTTGCTCAGTCACCCAGTTCTGTGAGATCCCTTTGTAACTCTTCGCCATCTGCTTTTGGATCAATTATCTCAAATAATTTAGGATCATCTGAAAACTTTGCCACCTCCCTGTTTACCCCTTTGTGAATAAGTTGGACAGCACTGGGCCCAGTACAGACCTTTGTTGTGTCTCTCAGAATGCCAAAGACCTGCTTAATTTTCTGGGTTCACTTCCCTTTCCCATTAACACACACCTAGTGTGAAGGGCCCCTGTTATTGCAGCCTCCTTTTAGGTCAAGAAGTACCGAACTCTCTTGGGAGCTCATCAGTGCCACTCCCATTCTAGATGGCAAGATCACGTTTGAATGGCGTGGAGCACTCTGTCTCCCGCAGGAGAGAGATGTGCTGCCTCTGCAACGGTCTCAAGCTTTACTGGGAAATAATGCCCAGACCTGAGAACCTGACCTAAAGAGCCTATATTACAGGAGACCTTTCCAAGAAGAAGCATGTACAGTACAGAAAACTCCCCAAGAAGAGCATACCTTATGGTAAATATGGTTCCCCAAGAAAGAGAAGATAGATTTTATAATGTTCCCCAAGAAGAGCACACAGTACAGTAAATAGGATTCCATGGGAACAGTAAATAAGGCTCCATAAGATATCGCACAGTATGTTAATCTCCAGTGATATTCTTTGGAGACCAACAATATTAGACCTGAAATAGTAGCTCAAACTAGGGACAATTTTCTCAGGCTATCTGAGTTGTGTCTGCTTCTCTCTTCCCCTCTCCCATGGTCAGTTAAGCAACCACCGCGTCGTGTGTGTTCTTGACCACTAAAACCAGTAACAGAAAAATGCATGGTTTTGTGACTTTGGATACACAAAGCATGGTTGCCTAAGACAGGGTCTTGTTGCTAATGTGATATTTTGATTTGGGAAAAAGTTATCTAAAAGAGAGGGGGGAAAATGGGGCTGATTTTGATTTCTGCCACACTCCACATTTTCCCTGCCTTCACTGGGAATGTTGGGTCTGCAAGAAATGCAGGATCAGCCTATAGCATTACTGTAATTAAGAGCCTTCTGGATAAGGCCCATCTAACTCTGATCTCAATTTCTTCTGTATTATCAACTCTGCCAGTTTTGGCTTCTCCCAGGTAAGCTCTAGAACTGGCTTTTAAGAAACACTGGGGTTATTTTAACAGTCTATTAAATTACCAACCGCATTATAAATACAGACTATACAACTGTGAAACTTATTCAGCCCAGTGATTCCCAGTGAGAAATCCCATTCATGTCATGGCTGGGTTGTGGGCAGCCAGATCCAGCCTTCAGAGCCGGAGTCTGCAGTCCCAAGACAGGAATCAGCAAGGTTAGGATACCAGGAGGACAGAATCAGGAGACAAACTGAAGGGCAGAAACACAAATCAGATGCCTGGAGTCATGCCAGGTCAAGATGCCAAGAAAGCAGAAGCAGGCAGCTCAAGGCACACAGTCCAGAACAGGGTAGAGCCCAGTTGTTCAGACAACTTCCTGTTCCTGCTGCTGGTTTAAGTAGGGCCAGCAGGCCAATCAGTTGATCTGGGACTCCACCAACAGAACTGCAGGGGAGGAGCCTCAAACTGGGGCTGGACTTCATAGGTTCCAGGTAAGCAAGTGTCAGCAGGCTGTCAAATGGAGGGTTGGAGCATGGTTATTCTTGCAGACCCAGGTTCAAGATTTGTAGGTCATGACAATTTATTCACTCCCATGTTGCATCATCAAACTGGGACTTCTGTGGGAAATACCATGCTGTGTCATCAAAATGGCAGCTCCCACTAGGAGAGATACCAGTCTCAGTCACTGAATGGAGATACTGAAACAAGGACTGGTATGTCTAAGAATTGAAAGGTGAGATTAGTTAGATGTGTATGTGTGTACATTTTGAGCCTGATTCTGCCACCCTCACATAGAATAGCACCTTACTCTGAACGTAGTCCTATCCATTTCAGTGAGACAAGTTATGG